CAGAAGCTAGTGTGAGAGACTGTGAGCCTGAGAGTAAGTCTGAGCGCTCCTGGGCGATACTGAGTGACGACTCAATGCCTGGCTTGACTCCAATGTCTGACACGACTTCGTCATCAGGCGGAGACTGTCCGATCTCTGTAGAAGATGATGACGTTCGAGTCAGTGACACTGAATCAGAAGAATTCGAGTTCCCGCTCACCTGGAAGGAGGGAGCGGCTCGCTATGCTCTAGGGAACGTGTTCGAGCAGAGGGCTGCTCAGGTACTAGATCAGTATCGTCCCTACTGGTCAGGACAGAGTACTGACCCTGAGACCGATTTCTTCATGGTAACTCAGGTCTCTGAGTCTATGTATGTCGTTGAATGTACTGCGAACGAGGTTGAGATGTACCTCACAGCTGATGAGCTTCAAAATGCAGCTCTGGACTTACCTGCCAAGTATAGGATCGCTCTGAGTGAGCAAAACTGCCCTTATCTCATTGAGGGAGGTACTGAAGCTATGGGCGACGCCATGGCGTTAATACTCGAACAAGAACTGAATGAAACGTTACCTTATCCCTCCGGACACTCGGGCGACGTTTTGCGGTCGCGTTTCCGATGTTTTCAGCTTGACAGTGTTGTAGAAATCCTAGACAACTACCTGGCTGTGTCAGTAAGCATTAGCTGTGAGAAACTGAGGAATGTAAGGCTCGACTTTAGGGACTGGTACGCACATGAGGTCCGTCGCATCTTCGCGGATGAGAAGGGAACTACCTTCTGTTTTGAAGACCTGGAGGGCGAGCTTCAGTCGCTGTTCTCCCGGTCGCCGTTAACTGAACCATGTGGACTCACACTGGAGCTGAATGCGATTCAGTCCAGTAAGCATGCTAAGGTTGAAAGAGGCGAACTCACGGTTCAGCGGAACGCTGCCATTCCGAGGGATTTGCGTCGTGTAATCCCAGAACCTATAGTCGTTGTAATTCTAATCAATGGCCAGCCGGTGCGAGCCCTGTTAGATACCGGCTCTTTAGCAGATTTCATGTCAGCAAAGCTGGCTCACCAATTGAAGGCCGAAACCTTCGAGCTCGCAAAGCCGATGCCTTTGCATCTTGCTGTACAAGGCTCTAGAGCGAAAATAAATTATGGCTGTATTGCTTTAGTCGAGTATCAGAATATCAAGGCAAAGAGATACTTCGATATAATCAACCTGCTGAATTACGACGTGATTCTAGGCACACCATTCTTCTTTCAACACAAAGTACTTACCGGGTTCAATCCGACGAAGGTGGTCATTGGAAGCTCGTCCCCGCTGCCTATCGAGGGCAAACAGGCTCGTGTCCTCGAGTCTAGGGCTGCCGAGGTTTTTGCAAATCGTGTTGAAGCTGCGAGGAAGCTTCTGAGTGAGTATGCAGCCCCAATTTGCAAGGAGGCGAGCGACTCTCCCCTTCCTCCTCTGAGAGCGATCAACCACACGATTCCGCTCAAAGACGAGTCGAAAATATACTCGTGGAGACCATCTAAGTGTCCGGATGCACTCAGGGACCTTTGGCGAGAAAAAAGGGACGCTTACCTGAAGTCTGGGCGTTGGAAGATGTCCAATGCACGCAATACTTCCCCGATGCTGCTTCTAACGAAGCCGGGGACAGGTGTGAAAGGTGTACCACCAAAACTTCGAGTAGTTTGTGACCTGAGAGAACGGAATGCTAACACTCACAAGGTGACCTCGCCTCTGCCTGATATGGAGGCAATTCTGCGTCGAATTTCGCGCAAACCGTACAGGTCCCTGATCGACGGGAAGGATGCCTATGAACAAATCCGAATCGAGCCTACACATGTCAGTCGGACGGCCATGACAACGCCGGACGGCAATATGGTCAGTCTGGTCCTTCAGCAGGGCGATTGCAATGCTGTGGCAACTTACCAGACTCTTATGAACCATATATTTGCACCCTACATCGGAGTATTCATGGACGTCTACTTAGACGACATAGCCATCTATTCAGACTCGCTTGACGACCACATCAAGCATGTAAAATTAGTAATAGACATTTTGAGGCGAGAGGAACTCTACCTGTCCGCCTCTAAGCTTCGCCTCCTATGCTCCGAGCTGAAGGTGTTAGGACGCATAGTGGACGACAAGGGGATTAGAATGGACCCAGACAAAGTCGACAGTGTCCTGAACTGGAAAGTGCCAACAAATCGAGAATTGCTCCGAGGCTTTCTCGGCTCCGTGGGATATTTGGCTGACGACATAGCAACTATTCGGATCCCAATGGGAATTCTTACGTCGCTTACAGGGACGGAGACAAGCTTCCGCTGGGACCATACTCACCAGCGGGCGTTCGACAAAATAAAACGTCTATTACATGCGCATCGAGAGCACCACCGTGTGCCGCTCGATTATTCTGAGGGGGCTCCTCGCATTTGGCTGGTAACCGATGGCTCACATGGCGGTATCGCCGGAGTAGTCACACAGGGCGAGGATTTTCGTAAGGGCAAAGTCGCCGCCTTCTTCTCTGCTAAGCTGTCGCCGGCTCAAATGAATTACCCTGTCCATGAAATAGAAATGTTAGCTGGGGTTGAGTCGATGCGACGGCATCGCGATATCTTACTCGGCTGCGCTTTTACTTGGGTCACAGATCACAAGGGACTTATACACTTGCTTAAACAGAAGAACCTGTCTGGGCGACAAGCCCGCTGGTTAGAACACATCTCGGAGTTTAATTTCAGTATAGAATATGTCCCTGGGGTGGAGAATGTTCTTGCGGACGCGCTGTCTCGTATCTACTCTAACGACAGGCCTGGTACTGTACGGGCACCGTCTGAATACACCTCCTTCGATGAGGAGGGCGACTTCGGCTCCTCCCTTCGTACCTTCGCCATCTCGGTGCCCGTCCTTGTCGACCCGGAATCTGTTGTCGCAGCGGAGGCTGCTGAGGCGGTTCCGGGGCCGACAGTGGCAACCACACGAGTCCTACGGCCGCGGCCGCCCAGACCTCTGGTACAGGAGCGTCGGGCTCGGCGCAAGCGAGACCCGAGCGCACCCGAATCCAAGGCACATGCTACTGCATCAGTGCCAAATTTTTCTGTGGATGACCAGGCTCAGGAAAACTTACCCGGGCCTAAGGGGCACGAGGGCACGTCCGGTGCGACACGCCCTGCAGTCCCGGACCACATGCCATCAGCTGTGGCGTTTGATAGCAGTCGCCGGCCTCCCGCTCGGGTGAGCGTCTTGCCTGCCGAATCCGGACGACCGGAAACGGCCAAGGAGTTTTCAAAACGGATAAAACGTGTTGTCCTCCGTGTTCCGGATGGAGGACAACAGGAGGGCGAGGGTCTGGCGGACTTTATGCATGTGGATAATTCAATTGATCGGGTAATTTTACCCAACGAGTATGAACCCGCTTTGCCACCCTGCAAGCAGGAATCACAGTTTCTAAGCTATCTATCTGAGAATACTGAGGGCATTGACTTACTGAGGGAACTGAAAGGCCGCTATGGGGAAGATAAATTCTACGGACTGATCCTCGAAGGTCCGAAACAGTACAAGAATTTCCTGGTGAAGGATGGGTTAGTATTCATCCGAGATAATCAAAAGACGCTCTTGTGCATACCTGATGTTCGTATCCAAGGTCGGAGTGCTCGGGAAATTGTAATCAAGCACGCGCACTCGCTATTGGCCCACCTAGGCACTCACCGCACATTGACGTTGTTGCGCGATCACCTGTGGTGGAAAACAATGTTAGCCGACGTTCAAAAATATTGTGAGACATGCATGACCTGCAAAAGGAGCAAGCCCGACAACCAGAAGCCGTATGGGCTCCTCAATCCCCTTTCGGTGCCTTTCCGGCCCTGGGAAGCGATCGCTGTCGACTTTGTGGGGCCTTTGCCTGCATCGAACAACAGGGATAGCTCGTACGACGAGATCACAGTAATTATTGACTTACTTTCGGGTATGGTCCACTTAGTACCCAGTCGGCAGGACTACAAAGCCCCAGATGTGGCTGAACTCTTGTTCTCAGAGGTGTATAAACACCATGGTATGCCTAAGTCAATTGTAAGCGACCGGGATGTTCTGTTTACCAGCTTGTTCTGGACTCATCTTAACAAACTGATGGGCGTTGAGCTGCGCATGTCGAGTGCCTACCACCCTGAGTCTGATGGATCCGCCGAACGCGCGAACCGCACGGTCGGACAGATGCTGAGGCAATGTATTGGACCAAACCAAAAGGATTGGGTCAGTAAGTTGCCAGGAATCGAATTTGCTATCAACTTAGCTCGAAGCGAGAGCACGGGCTTCGCTCCGTTCTTCCTGAACAGCGGCCGCATGCCTCGAGCCATGGTCTGGGACCCCGCCGGGCCCGACGAGTACCCAGGGGTTCGTGCCTTTGCACAAAGAGTCAAAAACGCTGTAATGGCCGCGCACGACTCAATTATAGCTGCGCGGGTGAAGCAGACGAGGAATGCAAACCGAAAACGTCGTCCGGCTCCCTTTGCCGTGGACGATCTTGTCTACATTTCCACCGCAAATATTTCATTGCCCAAGGGTTACGCCAGGAAGCTGGCACCTAAATACATAGGGCCATACCGCATCTTGAGAGACTACGGTAATAATTCATACAAAATTGACTTACCTAGTAACCTGCGCCGCCGCGGAATCCACGACGTGTTCCACGCGTCCCGCCTGCGGGTCCATGTGCCGAATGACGACCGATTGTTCCCCGGCCGGCTTGACAGCCAGGTAGCCGAGCTCGAGGACAAGGACAATGAATGGGCTATCGAGAAAATTATTAGCCACAGAGGTAGAGGTGGAGAA